GTTCGGGCTCTTCTTCCTCAATGAGTACCGCGTCGCGGTTGCTGGCTTCCGCGAGTCCCGCGAACACCCTAGGATCCGTCATCGCCTTGATGGGGGTTACCTCGCCGGGTATGTTGGAGTTTTGTTCTGCCATTTTTTCCTCAGGCCCCACGGTGGGCGCCAATTGTTTGAACCTAACTGAGTGTAGGAGTGAGGTTCGCTGTAATGGGTCAAGAAGAATGAACGGCTTGGACGAACAAGAACTATGAGACAAATGAGAGGAAAGAAAGAGTTGAGAGTCTCTTTTTTAGTGAGATAAAGTGATGATCTTAGAGATAGAGTCCCCCAAAATTCGATCCCCTCACCCACCGGAGTAAATGCCATATTTATAGGCTACATGGTGGTGGGTGAGGTACACAACGGTACAATGATGTGACTACCATGGCAGGGTGACATGACCTCTGACACGTCATGGACCAATACCATATCCCTAGGGACGACAAGACCCTTAGCCATGACTATACCTAGGACTATGATGGTGACTACCCTTCGGGTGACGCGGCGCCGCTATTACACTTCTCGTTGAGGGCCGTTTGGAGTTTACGCGCGAGCTTTCCAGGCATTTCCGAGTTGGTGCTATCCATGGCGTGGTCGTCTTTGGCGCGATCATCCTTAGGCATTTCCGAATCACATCCCCAACAACAGTATTGAAAAGACTATGAGGCAATGGGTGAATAATGAATGTCCAGAATGGCAATACGAGGATACTAGGATAGCCTAATTGGCTATCATGTGATTACTAGAAAGCCTATAAGGCAGAAATGTGATACTGTGAGGCCATAAGATGACAATGTGGTTATATGAAATGGTGAATGTGACTATGTGAATGTTATGAATATGTGAATAAACACGTGTTAAATGATTGATGATATTGCTTGGTACTTGTTCTATGACTAACTAAAGAATTGTCTGATCGCCTAAATTAAACTTATTGGCGCTCTGTCATGCACTCTATGAGATCTATATTGCGGCTTTATGCCTAGCTCTTTGGGAGAGCGATACCAGGCCTGGTCATTGGCGATGCTTAAGGCATCTATTGGCGGTGCCTAAGCCATCTATTGGGCGGTGCTTTATGCATCTATTGGCGGTGCTTAATGCATCTATTGGCGATGCTTTATGCATCTACTGGATAAACCCGGGGGAGTGCATGACTTGGCAATTTAAAGTCTAAAAGGCACGCAATCTGGCTAACCCTCTGTGTGTGTGTGTGTGTGTGTGTGTGTGTGTGTGTGTGCGCGCGCGCGCGCGCGCGCGCGCGTGTGCGTGGTTACATGTATTAAGCATAGGGTTTCACCAAATATTATATTTGTATTATTTGTATTGATACTGTTGATAGGTTAGCTTTTACTCATTGAGGTGACGTCTCACCCCGTCAAAAAATTTCCTCAGATTAGAAGTTTTGGACTAGAAGTAAAGGAAACTCAGAAAGGCTCAGCTCGGCATCAATGAGGTGGGATGGTAGACTCAGACTCCGACATGACTTTTTTTATATTATTTTGAGAGAAGATGGTCTTCTCTACTGTCATGTGTTTAGAAGTTTTAAATGTTTATGTAAATTATGGTTTGGTTTGTAAGCTAAACAAAATTATAAAAGGTTTTAATCGGTACGACCATGTGAAGGTTTTAAAATATGTATGGGTGTTACATTCAGTCACCTGAAAAGAATAGGCCACCATGTCCTCGAAGCCATACCTCTATGGAGGTACTCCTACAGTCGCTCTCTTCGGTCTACCGGAAGCTATAGACTGTTTAGCTCATGCACTGAATTCTGAAGTCTCTGGCTCAATAGAAACATCCTCATGTTGATCTTCTCCACTTTGGTGCTCCAACTCACTCTCTTTGAGAGTTTGCAGCTCCACCTGTTTATCAACATTCCTGCTATCTCCAACAACAGTAATCTTCAACATGGGTTAAAAACGTCGTTTGCAACCTAGTATGAGCCATTTTTCGATTTCGTCAAACTTTGGGCGGCCATAATTTTGTGCTCCAAAATCCAAACGTCATGAATTTTTTTCATTTCGCATAACTTTTTAAGGACTACAACTTTTATCATAGACATAATTTCGGAATGTACGTCGATTTGTGAAAAGGGAAGGTAAAGTTATTCCCAAAATCATCTATATCCAAATATAATTCTTGTTTTGAAAATTCATTCCTAGTAAAAATTATAGTCATTAAAAAGTTATGCGAAATTGAAAAAAAATCATGACGTTCGGATTTTGGAGCACATAGTTATGGTTGTTCAAGGTTATTGAGGATTTTTAGCGTTCAAGGAGTAAAACTTTATTAATTTGTAATTGTTTCAATAGAAGAGTTTTAGTTTGGTGGTATAGATGTTGTGCCAAATTTAGTAAACTATTTATTATTTAGGTTCAAACCCCCATTCCCACAACATGCTGCTTTTTTTAATCTCTACTAAATAATAAATAATTTAAATATAGGATGATGGTGTTTTGAACTAGGACCTCTTTCACACAATAAACAACTAAACCAGTTGTGCCATCACAACTAATGTCACTTTTGCGGAAAAAAATATTATTACAAACCGCCGGGTAGGGGTGCGGTTTGTAACCAAACTGCCCCGACCCCATGCGGTTAGCAAAACCGCCCCCTACCCGTGCGATTTTCATTGAAAATCGCGCCCCCACCCTGCGGGTTTTGAAAAAGGGTACTATTTTTGGAATTTTCGGGACTGGGTGCTATTTTTGTAAAAAAAAAAGTTAAAACAGTGCTATTTATGGAAAAATCTCTCCCAATGGGCATAGACAAACTTGCATTTATATGAGCTAATTTTTTCCCTACAAATATTTTTAGTGATGGCACATATACTCAAAATATAAGGGCTTGAAACATATGCAAAATAACCTTGTAATTAGGCTTGAGTTGATCCTTAAACGGCCTTATGGGTTAGTTTTTGCTTGTGAGCTTGAGATTGGGGTAGAAATGTATTGAGCTATCTTTTTTTGAATGTTAATCAAAGATTTTATTTAGTTATAAGCAAGGTTACCAACTCGTTGGTTGTCCCGTTGGTTGACCCGGACCCATTTATGAAAATGGTCTCCAGTTGCCAAGTGAAGAGCAGCTTGGATCCAGTCAAACTCGGACATACCCAGCACCCGGTGAACTAGGGAGGTTGGATTGAGGGAGCGGGTTTGGGGATCTCCAGTCATGCGTGACCTCGTTTCAATTCTGGAGTGCCCTCCCCAGCATAGGCAGTCACTCTAGGTCGCTGGAGTCTTCCTCCCCAGCAACCAGCGACCGCGCACCCGTAAATGGCCTCCCTCTTCCTCCAGGCTCCAGCTCCAGCGTGCAAGCTGCACCCCCCCCCCCCACTTCCAAGTCCAGCGAAAGCTTCCTCCCTCTATATCTTCTCCACCTCAACCAAACAACAACCTTCATCGTCTCCGCCTCTCTAGGTCGATCGGCTCTCCCTCCTCCCTCTACCTGCCGGAAGAACTCAAATTGGTAAGTTAAAGGGTTAGCGGTGAATGATTTGGGGCTTGGACAGATGAAAGAAATAGTTAGAGGAGGAAGAAAGAGTCGATCGGATGAAAGGGAAGAGATTTTTTGTAAAAAAGAAAGTACTTTATCACACTTTGAGAGAGAGCTGGCTCGAATATGAGGAAGAGTTTTGTAGGTGGGGTGGAAATTTAAGAAATGGTATCTTAAATTAAATTATATTATATTTCTAGTCACCGAAATATCAAAGGACTAAATTGTGTATACATAATTTTTATAATCTGTAAAACTGAGCTAATCCAATCAGCCCATTAACCCTCCATCCACTTGCTTGGCCGGACCACCAGGCCAAACCGGGTTAACAATCTTGGTTATAAGCGTTTCCTACATGCTGAGGATCGCATTAGAAGATTTATTTCAAGAGAACCTGATGATTTGGGATGGCAATTTGAACTCGCCCCGCTAGGTACCCGACCTGAACCGTGTTAGTATTGGGCCTTGTTGGGTCTCGTCTGATTCGTTGGATTAGGGTTTTAACCCTAAGTCTATCTAGATAAGCTTAGCTATCGACTTGTGTGATAGCAAGTCGTCAAGATGTAATACTAATAAAAAATCAGTCGTGAGCTCTTATGAGCTCGCCGTGGATTAGTCTCGATCAATCGATCGAGGATACCACGTAAAATTCCTTGTCTTTTGTGTTCGTTTCCTTCCGCATCATCAAATTCTACATGGTATCAAAGAGGTTTTTGATCTAGGGGAACCCTAAAAGTATTCGAGATCCGCCACAATGAGTCCGAGTTTTCCTATAGTCTACTAGGTATGCGCGCTGGTAACCGCGTCTTGGAATTTTCGTTTCTGCCCAACGCCAACTCCAGTCAGGCTCGTCGCAAGTTTCATCGTCGATCGCACGAATTCCATTGCTGTTCTTTTTCCGTTTATACCAGAGAAGTTAGTTTTCGTGTCCTGTACCGTCTAAGAAGGCCACTGTCAAAGTGCTTAATGTCGCTGCTAATCGCATCGTCACCATCTCCATTCAAAGTTTCTTTTCGGATCCATGTCCATGACTTCGTCTACAAACATCATTGTCGTCGTTGTCACCTAGTCGCAAGTCTCTCTTCGCGTCATCGTTACATACGGCAAAGTCCCTGATTTCAGTCGGATCCAGTTTCATATGTAGCTTCGCTCAGCGGCCACGCTAGACCGCAATCGCCGCTACTCCAGGCCCCCGCCGCATCCAACATCATCGCCGCTGCCATTCCTAAAGTCCTGCTTAGTCAATCGTCATGGCCGCTACATCACAGGGACATGACGATCGCCCTCTGCCGAGACTGTAAAATCCAGCGAAGAGGGTGCCTTCGTCAAATCAGGGTCTCTGTCCAAATCATGGTCGTGGACAAATCAAGCATCACCGGCAGTCAACACATCGTTGGTTGGGTATCCGGTTTCGTCCTGAATCGTCGGCAAGCGAAGTGGTATCACCTGTCAGAGCAATCCTCCCACCATCACTCCGACCAGTCACTTTTGTTCGCCGGCTCAGTCATCCGTCCAGTCACTCCTTGTTGAGTTTTCTTTTGGGTTTCGTTGCTTAATGCAGCCCCGATGTCGGCTCCTAACAGCGCCCACTCTAGTTCGGGTTGTCGTTGCATCCAGGTTCGTCCGTCCTTGTCAATCAGCGTCGTAATTCTCCCGGGTCCGAGAAGATCCATCGTCGAGAAGATCCATGCAGCAGGAGTTTTGTCACCTAGCGGCTGTTCCGAAGCTTCGTCCCTACCCATGGTCAAGGATCATCGCGGGCCGTGGTATTTGTTCTTTTTTGGAATAATTCATATCAATTGTCCAATTTGGTCCGTCAAGTATAAGTCTTCTTATCAAGTCTTCATAAGCTTATTTTGTTTGGCGCATTACAAGGAAGAAGAAATCTATTTTTCCTTTGTTATGTGTTGCCTCCGACTCGTTATTGAAAATTCAAGATCTCATCCTCTTCCATCATCAACAACCGAGTTCAGTCGAAGGCAGCCAGTCATGGTGTTTGTTCAAGAAGGCTAGTTTTCATTGAATTCGTGTCATCTTCATCAAGGTTCCATAGAAAGCAAGCCTTCACCAACATCAAAGTCATGGCGTTGAAGATAGTCGCGACCTGCAGTGGTCGTCCCTTCAATTTCTAGTGTTGGGGAGTTACAGCTCTTGTCAACAAATTTTCAACTCATCAGGTAGAGGCATTCACGATCATAAAATGGTCGTCCCCTAGCGTTCAAAAGGTAGTACGATCAAAGAAGTAATCGTCCCTTTATCGTCCAGCTGGCATTCACGATCCAAGAAACGGTCGTCCCCTCTTCCGGTTCATTATTGAGCACATATCAACCATTCATCGCTTTTCAAGCTGGGCATTCACGATGTTCATGTTCCATCTTGAGGGGGAGAATAGGGGGTCAACATACGTTGGTCGGCTAACTCAGTCATCAGGAAGTCCGCGAAGTACTAGGTGTGTTCAAGTTCAAGAGACATAGTCAATCGTCTCCATCATCAGGTTGTTCGCAGAGAGTCAGTCGTCTCCAAACCTCGTCCGAGATGTTATTCATCTCGAGTTTTGTGGTTCAAGCCATCATGCTTGTTCTTCACATTTACTTCTTCAAGCTCGACATTCTTGTCATTCATGTCTTCGCTTGAGGGGGAGTGTTACGGTTACTTCAACTGTGTTAGTATTGGGCCTTGTTGGGCCTCGTCTGATTCGTTGGATTAGGGGTTTAACCCTAAGTTTATCTATATAAGCTTAGCTATCGACTTGTGTGATAGCAAGCCGTCAAGATGTAATCCTAATAAGAAATCAGTCGTGAGCTCTAATGAGCTCACCGTGGATTAGTCTTGATCAATCGTTCGAGGATACCACGTTAAATTCCTTGTCTTCTGTGTTTGTTTCCTTCCGCATCATCAAATTCTTCATGGTAGCAGGTATTGCCCGACCCATAGTAGCGTGAGACGGAGCATGGGTATCTACTTTCGACCCATCCTGCCCTGTCTTGTCCCGTTTTTTGTCCATTTTTATCGCAATTTCATTTAGACTTTATTCAACTAGTTAAACTCAATTATCCATTATGTTATCATGATTTTTCATTCTTAAAGTGTTTTTCCCAGTATTTTATCATAAAAAGTAAAATTTAGCATGTATTTTTTCAAATAACATGTAAGAGTGGGTCGACTCGCCCCACCATGTACCCGCGCGGGGTATTACCCACCCCAACCCGCAGTAGCATGGGCGGGACATGGGTATTGAGGCACCTAACCCACTCCGCCCCATTGCCATCACGAAACTCGTCGAACCCGGGGGTTAACCGAGGGAAAGGGTTAGCGGGTCTCCCTTCTTGCGCGACATTGTTTCGATTTTGGAGTACCCTCCCCAACATAGAAAGCCGCTCCAGGTCGCTGAAGTCTTCCTCCCCAGCAATCGACGACTGCGCGCTAAATGCAAACGGCCTCCCTCTTCCTCCAGCTTTAGCGTGCAAGCTGCCTCCCTCCCTTCCAACTCCAGCAAATGCTTCCTCCCTCTGTATCCGTAGCTCATCCAAATAGAAACCTTGGCCCGTCTCCGCCTCCCTAAGTCGACTGGCTCTCCCTCCTTTTTGTAGAAAAGGAATGTACCTTATCACACTTTAAGAGAGAGCGGGCTGGAATAGAATGAAGGGTTTTGTCGATGATAAGGGATTGCAATTTAATCCCGCCCTACCGAGTACCCGACCTAACCCGCGATGGGTTGGTATTACCCGACCTGTAGTAGTGTAGGGCGAGGAATGAGTATCTACTTTCGATCCGTCCTTTCTCGTCCTGTCCCATTTTTTGTCCATTTTATTTCAATTTCATTTTGACTTTCTTCAACTAGTTAAACTCAACTATCCATTCTATTATCACTAGTTTTCATTCATAAAGGGTTTTTCTATTCATTTTATCGTAAAAAGTAAAATTTAGAGTGTAGTTTTTCAAATAATATGTAAGAGTGGGTCGAACCGCCTCATCCCGTACTCGTACAGGAATTAACTGACCCAATCAGCACTAATATTGGGTGAGACATGGGTACTGAAATACTCGCCCCCACCCTATTGCCATCACTACCGATGATAATGGAAAAGGATTAGTTGGGCAACAAGGATTATATTTGTGGGTACTGTATGATACTTTTATTCAATAATATATTGGCAAAATACACTTGTATAGCCAAAACTTTAGCGTTTGTGCCAATAATAGCCAAATTTGGTGAAATACCACTTGTAGCCACTTCCGTCCAATTCTTTAACGCTGTTAGCGTTAAGTGTGACTGGGCAAACGGAGACGCTTACGTGGCGAGCTCTTATTTCTCTTTTCCTCTCTAATTGTCCACGTGGATAATAATTAATTAAAAAAAATTAAAGCAACAAAAAACAAGAACCCCTCGTTTGACCCACCCACTTTTCCCTCTGTCTTAACCTCTTCTTCGTACGCCCACCCCTTCTGAGAAAGACGCAATCGACGAACCCCCCTGATATTCCTTCCTCCACCATCGATCTACCCCCTCTTCCCGTCCCGATTCTTCTCCATTACTCTCTTATGTCTGAGCTCATCTTCATCGGAAGCTAGCTCTTGCCATTCGAACCAATCATTCCTCTTGGCCATTCGAACCAACCATTCATGGCGTCACTAAGCTTCGCGCCCTAACCATTCATGATCTGTACAGAATCGGCGGCGCGGGTCGGTCTCTGCAACTTCAAGCTCGTGGTCGACGCCGAGGGTGAGAATGGAAGCGCGGCAGCGGAGCCAGATTTGAGCGCGAAGGTGAATGGATTGCAGATGCCTAATCCATTCGTGATCGGGTCCAGTCCCCTCGGGACCGACTACACTGTGATGAAGCGTGCGTCGATGGAGGCTGGGGGTGCTGTCATTGCCAAGCGTGGTTTCACTCGATTCGTTGCTCGACTCTTCTGAGAATTTGATTTAGGCTGCCTACCTGATAAGTCTGAAAATTAGGATCCGTTTGAGAACTATTCTGAGAATTAGGATCCATTTGAGAACTATTCATGTTGAATAGAAAATTTGGGGACGAAGTAATGAGAACCCTAATTTCAAAATTGAGTAAAGGTTGGGGATTCGATGTGACTCGCGCAAAGCTGATGGGTAATAAATGGATAATTTTTTTAATTATGATGTGTAAAGAATAAATAATTTAAATATATGATGTGTTATTATTTGCTTATTTGGCGCTGAATGTGTTTGTTGAGTTGGTGCCTAGTCAGCAAACCGTCAAATATGTTGACGGTGTTATTAACACCGTTAAAGTTTCTAACGGAAATGGCTATATTTGTCCTACAAAAATTTAAAAGCTGGTCATAAGTGGTATTTCGTCAAATTTGGCTATTATTGGCACAAACGTGAAAGTTTTGACTATACAAGTGTATTTTGCCCAATATATTTAAAATTCCTATGCCTTACGTCAAATTTTCCCACTTACGTGTGAGATCAACTTTCAGCTCTCGATCTTAGGACCGTGGATCGATTTGGAAAAAAACTAAATGGGGAATTGGGCTCCTGCCGGCCCAAACCAAAACTATACACGCCTTCAAAAAATATGGACACCCGAGCAATTTTTACCTCCAGGCCTTAAACTTGAACTCTCTTACCACCATCTCCATCACCGGCAGTGCTCGCCTTCCCCTCCTTCTCGCATCCGGCCCTGTTAATCACCGCCGCCAATTTCACCCAAAACGCCACTCCCCAGTCCCACACATGCAAAACCACAAACGTCACGATCCCTCCTATCATCCCATAAGCTATGGAATACGTCACCGGCATCAGTATCATCGTCACGAACGCCGGAATCGCCTGCCGCATATCCTCCCACTCGATCTCCACCATCGGCTTCATCATCAGAACCCCCACCAAGATCAACGGCGGGCCCACCGCCCATGGCGGTATCGAAGCCAGCAACGGCGTGAAGAAGAACGCCGAAAAGAAGTAACCCGCCACCGTCAGCGCCGTCAGTCCCGTCCGCCCGCCTTCCCGTATCCCCGTCGAGGACTCGACAAACGTCGTCACCGACGACGTCCCCAACAGGGACCCCACCACGATTGACGACGCGTCGGACATAAAGGCGAAGTACTGACCCTCGAAATCGCCGTTATCGTCCGTTATCCCCGCGAATTCCGCCATCGAGTAGAGCGTCCCCGTCGTGTCCAATATGTCCACGCACAGAAACGTGACCAAAACTTCCCAAAAATGGACGCTCCCCATCCCGCTAAAGCTCAACACGCCTGCGGTCTTCTCGATCGCGTGAAGATCGATCACCGCCTTGAAGTAATTGTACTTCTGATTCCCGATCTCCGTGTCGGGAAACGCCGTGATCGGGGTGTGACGGAACCACGACAGAACCGTCACGAAAACGACGCCATAGATCAGAGCCCCTTTGATGTTCTTCGCCGAGCAGTACGCGATTATGATGAACCCGGCGACTCCCAACCAGAAGGTAGGGCTCTCCATCCACCCACTCTGGCAGAACATCTCCTCGGAGACCGCCCCGCCGGGAATTAAACTGACGGTGCCGTTAATTATCTTGACTGGAGCTAGCGCTACCTGCGAGGTTCTTGGGCACGCCCCAATCGTGACTAATGTAGATCCGCTGTACCCAACCAGCCCGATTCCTTGATGGCTCTGTAACCCGACGAAGGCGAGGAACAACCCGATTCCGGCAGAGCAACTGACCCGAACCGGTTTGGGGACGAATTTGGCCAGCCTCGCCCGCAGCCCGATTGCGGAAATGAAGAGGAAGATTAAACCCTCGACGAAGATTGCGGTGAGGGCGTGCTGATACGACAAGTGGCCGGAGCCGTGGTACCCGACGACGGTGTAGGCGAAGTAGGCGTTGGTGCCCATTCCGGGGGCTAAAGCGAGAGGAAGGTTGGCGAACATTCCCATGATGAAGCAGCCGGTCAAGGAGGAGACGATTGTGGCCACGACCAGGTCTTTCCGGGTCTGTTCCAGGCAGGCCAGGTAGCCTGGGTTAACCAGGGGAGGGAATTTGCAGGAGACGTCGTGGTCGCCGCCGGGAGGGATGCAATCGGAGACGCTGCAAGTGCCGCCGGAGTCGGCGAGGATGCTCGCGTTGACGGCTAGGATGTATGCCATGGTGAGGAATGTAGCGGTGCCGGCTCGGAGCTCGGTGGTGAAGCAAGTGTTCCGCTCATCGAGCTTGAATTGCTTCCCGACTCTGCTTCCGGCCACGTAGTTGTTCAGTCGAGTTAAAATGGAGGTGTTGCCTTCTCGTAAAGGAGGCGTCGCCATTAGATTGCGCGTATGGACATTATTGGGAGGGAAAAAGGGAAATTTGCGTTGGGGGAGAACACAATGAATTGAACCAAGCAATTTGGTTGTTCTCTGTTTGAATCATTAACTTGAGTTGGGATTTTTGCGGGGGCTCTGTTTTTGGGAACTAGTGTCGAAGAATCCATGGGAGCAGGGACAGATGGAGGTATAGATTATTCTGAATGCTGGGGGATGAAATATGGGATATTTAATTTCCAGACCTGTGCTCTATCTAATGGGCTATGGCAGAAGTTGATGGATCCGCTGTGTTGTCTTCGGGGTTTCTAATCCAACAATATACTTGGAGAGGTGGGTTGAAAGAGTCAAAGAGATTCGTCGCTCTGGTAGTCACTCTGTCTGTTCTTCTCACTTCCATTATAGTCGGCACGCTCTATAACTGACAAAATTGTTGATCCAACCTGAATCCAGAAAGGACAAGGTTTGCACGAAGAAGAAAGAATCGAACGAGGTTGGAAACGTTTCAGCGAAGCTTCAGTCAAGGTGCAACTCACCGTTTTGTTTAGAGTCGGTTAGCCGTTAATAAATTGTTGCTTAGTTTAACATTCTGGATTCCTATTTGCAGCCCTAAATTTTTAAAATTTCAGCCCTAAATAAACTGAACAGACAAAATTACCCCTCCAACCATTTTCAATCGAAGCCCTAATCCCCTAATCTGTCTCGCCGCCGCCGTTCGCCATTTATGAGCGCCGCCGTCGCCGTTCGCCCTCCCGTCGCAGGAAGCCCCCTCCCTCCAACCGCCGGAAGATCCTCGGTCACAGTTGGCAGCAACAATCTCCGGGAGAAAGGAAACTGCTCTCCGCGGCTCTTCCCTTCTCTTCTTCGCAAACCAAAGCGGGAATATGAACACCCAGGCAGAACAGGGAGACGAGGATTTTGATTTTCAGGTCGGTTGGTCGCCGTCGCTCCAGTCGCCCCACTGGATGAGCGCCGCCGCCGCCGTTCGCCCACCCGTCGCAGGAACCCCCCTCTCCCAATCGCCCCCAAATCCGTCCCGCCCTACCGTCGCAACCAAGGCGTCGTTCTCCCTGGATGAACATCGCCCAGCTCCCCCGTCGCAGCCAAGCCGCCGTTCGCCCTGGAATTCCGAGTTCAGTCGCTGCGGCTGCTGCGGAGCGAAGGTGAGGAGCGACGGTCGACGTTCTCCCAGATATAGGAAGACGGACCGGCGCCGTTGAGGAGGAAGGAGGATGAAGCAGAGTGGTCGTCGACGGCATAGGAAGGGATACCGGCCTGTCCTGACTCCTCAGGCGGGTCGCGGGTCGGGCAATTGGTCGGGTAGCGAAGAACCCATTAATGGCCGGACCAGCTTTATGTCCGGTTCGGTTTTGGTTGTTTCAATAAGTGATTTAGATAGAATTAATGTACAATTATTATTATTATTAGTGATGATTTTATTGTCATATATAAGATTAATGTAAATTTTTTTGAATATTGTGTTTTATAATTAATTAGTGATAATGTACAATCATTGAGATTTAGATTTAATTTTTAAATATAGTGATTTAAATTTTACAATTAATGTACATTTGTTATTAGAGATGAATTTATATGATTAGTGATGAACTGCTATAATCCATGCTTAAATTATATGATTAGTAAATAATACTTATAAGTAGGGCTTAAAGACCATATGATTCTATCCAAAAATGGGTAATTACAATCATCTTCATATCTAAAAATTTAAAATAATGTTAACTTTCATAAAAAAAATCACTTGATCATAGGAGAAAGGTAAATCCATAACTAATTCGACATAATGTTCAATCTTCAAACGGAAAATATAATGCAGCAAAGTTTAATCACTCTCATCATCATTGGCGGGATGATGTCCTCCAAGATCGATATACAATTGCCGCTCCGCCTCATATAATGAATCCCAATCAGCAACTCTTAGCATATCCCGGAAGTGAGACCACTGTGGACTAAAAGGAGGTATTGGTGTCACCCCATCAACTTCGCCGACATATAGTCGCACCCAATGTGCCCCAGTAAAAACCAGCTTTATAACTTGACTAGGTTGATTGACCCCCTCCGGCGCCGTCATAGGTAAGACGGTGTACCCATACGTCACCCGCTCATTATACAGTCCATAAACAACCATTGCACAGTTGTATAGGGTTGCGAATGTCAACAAATCCACCTCTTCACACCAATACTCTTGGGTGCAACTCCCAGCGGTCCGACAATCAATCCTGTGACGTACTGCCTCCAACGATCCATCTCTGGAAAGATAAACTCCCTCATAGATAGCCCAATGATTATTGATTTCTGTGATAAGATGTTGCCTCATTTGTACGTAGTGTCCCTCGTCTCCATAAATCGCATGTGACATGGCCCGAAAACCACATTGTCCGTCTGGAATTGGGTCAAACCAACCTCTAAGAAGAGGGCGCACACTAGGTGGGATGTAGCGGAGATAGGGACACACATTTCTCTCATTGTGGACTTGCATATGTTGACTTTTCGAGACACCTCCTGTTGAGACAAAAAAAAATAACTAATGAAAACGGCTACATACCAATGACTATGATTACACAAAAAAATATAAGACATTTGCTAACCTGTAGGAGTCGTCTTCTGTGTCTTTTTCGTGTTTTGATTTGTTTTGCTCCTCTTTGCCGACCGTGCCCTCTCGTGCTCAAACCAAGAAGGATCTCTAGTGTTCGACCTCTTTGGTGGTCTCCCCTTTGGAGCCTCTGACTCCCTAGGCTCTAGTAGGCCTGCAACTTGTGGACGGATATGAGGGAGTAGTAATTGAGATGCCTTCCGGACAGCAGCTGGTCCTTGCCTGTACACATCTGCCACCATGGCTGCAAAAATGCCCCGCTCAGTGGCATCATGGTCCCCCCATTTTGCACCATCAGGAGGACTCTCATACACCAAAGATGACCAGAATCGATGTAAGTGGTGAGGGTGTAACTCCACGTCGGCATCACTAAGTGCATCCATCTTACATTTACATGTTAGACCATGTGTCTCATGTAGCCGACATCCACATCGCTCAACAATTTCTCTTGCTCGTTCTTTCATCAACAACTCAATTGCCCACAAGCTTACTTCCATATTCAAGTGACCATATGGCGGACCGTCAGTTAATTTAAATACCTATTTAAAAGAACGAATTTCTACATCAAAATCAAATTGAGTATATGGGGGAATATCAACACAATTGAAGAAACAAGGAACATACCTTCAAACGCGAATCCTCTAAGTCCTTTCTTAGTTCAATCACTTTTCCCTCAATGGAAGTGTGATATCTAAGAAAGAGAGTGTCGATCTTGTGGGTCGAACTGGCAAGCCATTTCTTCAAGGACGAATGAGATGACTCTACCCTGTTTGTGCTCGTGTTACCAATATGGAAAACACGATTGGTGTAGCAATGAGCCCACCTTTGCGCACATGGTATCCACTCACCCCTCAAGTAGTTCATGAAGCGTGGGTTTTTACCCCAATCACTAGTTTGCAAGTCTACCCACCGTTGCTGGAACCCTCCCTGAGTGTTGGCATTCATGAGTGTCTGCCAAGGCCCTGCTACAAACGCCTCTGCAGATTCTCGACTTATCCCGAGAGACATCATCTTGGCTTCAATGTTCTTCTTCATGTGCCACACACATAGTAAATGAGCTGAAGATGGAAAGATCTCACGCAGGGATACACCCAAACCGCCCTCCTTATCGGTGACGAACGCATCTGGTCTTCGACCACCAAGAACATTCTTCAATTGCGACAATACCCAAGCATATGTCTCCTTTGTCTCATCTGAAACCAATGCGAACCCTATGTTGAAGTTCTTCTTCACCGGACTAACACCAATCAACTGAACCAGTGGTTGCTTATACTTGTTGGTCTTGTACGTCGAGTCTATCAAAATAACAAAATACCATGCGCTCAACATCTTAATAGACTCCGGATGGGAAAGGAAGAGTCTAGTAACACGACGGTCTTCATCAAAATCAACTCCAATGAAGTAGCCAAGACGGTCAGCTTCTATAAATGTCCACCGCATAGGGGAAAGACCACCCAATCTCTCACGCCTAATCTTTGTTGTCTCATTATAAACTTGATCCATGTTGTGATGAGCATCAAACTTCCTATTTATAAAACTTCTTATATCTTTCGCCTGAGTATGTGTTGCCTCCAACTCCTTAATTTCAATCTTTTCCTCATTTGAAAGAGCATTCCTTTGCTTGCTTCCTTCAGCATAAACTTCCAATTTGTGATTGTGAAATCCCTTTGGCTTCCCATATCTGTCCGTAACACCCAAAATTCTCCACTTACATTTGCCATCTACCAATGAACTCCGCACTACCACTCGGAACTGACAACCTTGCTTGCCTGATTTTGATATGCGTCTTGTCTTTGCCAAATCTGGGGTATATGATTTGCTCCTCTTACCATGGTTGCAATCCATATATATACGCGGATAGTCTTCTCCATAATTTCGCTTGGTTGATTCCACAACCAAGAAAAACTTATTTCTTTGGGCAATCTCCTTTGCCGCCGCACAAGCTTCGACATGGGTATCATAAACAACATCGCTTATGAACAATGATGTGTAATCAAAATTGTCACCCTCATTCTCGCCAAAATCTCCCTACAATTAAATATGGTAAATATATATAAGGTTAAGAAAAGCAATAATTATGGTACAATAATGGAACTATCAAAAAACAAACAAAGTACTTACTGAATTACTCATAATAATCTCTAAAGTAAATATCCTTAATCGAACTTGATTATCTTCGATTAGACGTCTTGATTGCTATTATGTTCTATAAAATTCGTAGGTCTTACACTCTCTATTTATAGAGGTTCCAAAAGCATGAAACTAACCTTATAGAAATAGAAAAACAAATCCTACACTAACTAGGAAACATAATACTACTTGTTACTTTAACAAGGACTACTACTAATTAAGCTTCTAAATAACCAAATTTAATAATTGTAATGTCCTTTTCCTTTGAGGAACTATTTTTTAAAAATTATTTTATTTTAGTTATTTTTTGGTTTTGTTAGTTGTTTGTCCAAATAGAGAAGATCCAAATGACCAACCAGACCCAACCAATTCGTGCGGTTTGACCCGACTGGGCGGTCCCTTCTTTCCTACTACTATCGCTGACCAGCAGACTTTTTTTTTTTTTTTTTAAACGGAGAGATTTTTCTCTCTTGCTTCTGGATCGGCGCAGCAGAAGCCGGAAGGCATGACCGGACGGCGACCAGTGGGGCGAACGGCGGCGGCGGCGGCGCTCATCCAGTGGGGCGATTGGAGAGAGGTAATTGGGGCGATTGGAGCGACGGCGACCAGCCGACCCTGAAAATCAAAATACAGTTTCCTTTCTCCCGGAGATTGTTGCTGCCAACTGTGACCGAGGGAGAACGGCGGTGGCGCTCATCCAGGAAAGGGTTGGAGGGAGGGGGCTTCCTGCGACGGGAGGGCGAACGGCGGCGGCGGCGCTCATAAATGGCGAACGGCGGCGGCGAGACAGATTAGGGGATTAGGGCTTCGATTGAAAATGGTTGGAGGGGTAATTTTGTCTGTTTAGTTTATTTAGGGCTGAAATTTTAAAAATTTAGGGCTGCAAATAGTACCTCCCTTTAACATTGCCCAATGGGATAGGAGAAGATCGAACGAGGTTGGATGCACTCGAATAGTGGGTCCAATCTACTCTAGAACTTTTCGCGGTAGAAGTATTGGAGTCAATCCATTTAAGGTGGTACTCAACCTTTGTCCAAGTGTGGAGTTAGGGGGATTCATGTCTAACTAAGCTCCCAATCTTGTAATTAACTAGGATAGTGGTTAGAATAGTTTAGTTAGGTTAGTTTCTTAATCAGTATTCTTGTTTGGCTAGACAATCACATTAAGTTTAAGTAACGGTACATCTAGAAACCTTTGATTTAATAATTTTATTACTTGCTTACCCTAAGAAGTCCGCTTCAATTGTTCTAAGAGACAGAAGCCTGCTTCAATTGGGCTTGGCGACGCTTCCGATTGATTTTCAGCAACAAAATGGGAAAATCAACCAACAAAGGAAATCGATGGACATGGGGATCTAGGTTGGCAACAAATCCAAACGACCCCTAAGTAGGAGAGAGAACTTGAAGTAGGCTCAAGATAGGGTGAGTAACAATGAGTAACCAAATCTGGACCCTTCTTTTAAGTGGCTGCAGATCTAAGGGTGGAGAATTAAAGAAATTTATTTTCCCTAGTTTTCTTAATTGGATCATATCTTCTTCATTCTAACTCGGATTTCAATTTTTTTTGCACAGATGGAACGATTTCGTTGTGCTCTACAAAATTATATTCATTTTCAATATTTTTTGAGAAATTTTTTTTTCATCTCTCTCGTTACCAACTTCATACCATATGGTATCTCCTTCGTTGTTTAGTCATTTTCGGAAATTTTTGCACAAAAGGAACGGTTTAATCATGATCTATTGAATTTCAAAATTTTCTGGGGGGAAAAATTACATACCTCTCATTACCGACTCCGTACCATACTATACCACCCTGGTATGAGGTGGTATTTTTCATACCATATGGTATGCTGTTATTTAATACCAATCAATACCATATGGTATTGACTAGTAATAACTAGCAAATTTTTTTTGTTCCAAAAAATATCAAAGTGGATATCATTTTGAATCGTTACCAACTCCATACCATACTATACCACCCTGGTATGAGGATGTATTTTTCATACCATATGGTATGCTGTTATTTAATATCAGTCAATACCATATGGTATGCTATTATTTAATATCAATCAATACCATATGGTATTAACTGACAAATTTTTTGTTCCAAAAAATATCAAAGTGGATATCATTTTGAAGAGCACAATTAATCTGATCTAACTGTGCAAAAAAAATTAAATTCCGAGTTAAAACGAGTGAGAAATCGTCCGTTAAAGATTAAGTGAAAGAAAATTAATGATTTTTCTAGGAGAGAGAAGGAGGCGCTGATGTGGCATATTCTTATTGGGTTATGCATGGGGTTACTCAACAAGGTTACTCACCGGATCTGCTCCCCTTGAAGTAGGTGGAGAGCTCTCTTCCTTATCCAACTCACATATATCACAATCTTTCTCCTGCGAAAGAGGAAAATTGGACCTTTCACTTGGAGACCGAAAGAAAAAACAAAGGCGGAAATGAAAAGATGAGGAAAGATGAGACCTTGAGGAAGTGGGGAGCTTCAAGGTGGGAACGGGAGTGGGTGAAGCGTACATGGGAGGTGGAGCCATGGCTACGAAATCCCTGGAGTAAGAACTATTTTTCGGCAGCGAATCTGAACCCAGAAGTTTCATTCATGTCTCCGACGACTCGCATATGAGAAGAGTTTATGGTGGCAGGTTGGGTATATGACATGGCGGGTTTTATGACGTGACGGATTAGGTTTGGTGATGTGGCGGTTAAAATAGAGTGAGTCAGCGCTTCTATTAGCCACATCAGCAATAAACTGATGGTGTTAACCGAGACCTATAGAGACTAACGGAAAATGACTGAACATGAACCATTTTACTAATTTGAGTGACTAACATTGGAATTAAATATTTTAAATGACTAAACATAACGCTTTTTATTAAATCCAGTGACCATCCTTGCAATTTATTCAAAAAAGAAAGTGCATTGCTATTTGTTTATTACAAAAACGGTGCAATCACTATTATTATTTAATAATTTAGTAGGATGATGATAAAATCATTGGTCGAGTAATTGTAATTACTCTATGTCAAGCTTTATAAAAAAAAATTTAGAAGTCAAGCTATATAATTGAATTAACCTTTGATTTCCTCAATTAATTATAACTAGCTTATAACCCGACCCGTTGGTCGGAGGAGCTGAGATGAATATTGAATTATTGGTATGGACGTATTAATGCTCTTGGTTCATGTATGTTGTGAGGGCAGCATCTTATTAGTAACTTGTCATTAGTTGGTAATGGAATAGGGAATACTGACATGAACTTGTTTCGGCGTTTTAGATAACAAAGAAAGCTGCAAATTTGAGACCTACTTCGATTTAATTAAACTTAAAAAGAAGAAAACATACTATCTATGTCATTCTGATTTGTTTTATCTTTCCACCATGGTGAGCATTCGCAAGAAAAAAGAGAATGACAATAAAATTGAGGAACGTTGTGGAGCAATGATGCTATGGCATCGTGTTTTCTTTTGGAGTGATTGAAAGTGGTGACAAACACATACAATCTTTGACAATAACAATAAAAACATCAATGTTGTCAATACTTCCGTGTAGTGATGGCCTACGTGGGGACCTAAGGGTGGTTAGAGATTAGAGAGAGGAATGCACACTCTGAATAGTAGTCTGTGCTAAAAATAAAGTAGTGAAAATGGTAAAACTAATATGCATGACTTTGTCTTCATTCAAATAAATCTTGTCATAACTAATAAAGAATTTCAATGTCAAAAA